GCAGACAACGAATTGCAAGCCTTGTTGGATGAAGATGATACTCAAACTCAACAAGAACTCGCGGATCAATTGAATGTGACGCAGAAAGCCATCTCCATTCGTTTGAAAACTATGGGAAAAATTCAGAAAGTGGGAAAATGGGTTCCGCATGAACTGAATGAAAGACAGCAAGAAAATCGAAAAACCGTTTGTGAACTGCTGCTCGACAGATACAAAAGAAAGTCATTTCTCCATTGAATCGTGACAGGTGATGAAAAATGGATATATTTTGAGAATCCTAAGCGTCAGAAATCATGGGTGAATCCAGGCGAACCATCAACATCCACGGCAAGACCAAATCGCTTTGGAAAGAAGACAATGCTCTGTGTTTGGTGGGATCAGAAGGGTGTAATTTATTATGAGCTGCTAAAACCTGGTGAAACCGTTAACACTAATCGCTACCAACAGCAAATGATCGATTTAAATAGAGCATTATGTGAAAAACGACCGGAATATGGTAAAAGGCAACACAAAGTCATTTTGCTTCATGATAATGCTTCATCACACACAGCAAAACGAGTCAGGGAAACGATCGAGGCGTTCAGTTGGGAAATATTAGTGCATGCGGCTTATTCTCCAGACTTGGCTCCGTCCGATTATCATCTATTCGCATCACTGGGACACGCTCTCGCTGAACAACACTTCAATACGTATGAAAATGTACGAAAATGGCTCGATAACTGGTTCGCGTCAAAAAAAGAACTGTTTTTTTGGCGTGGCATTCATAAACTGCCGGAGAGGTGGGAAAAATGTATAAATAGCAATGGAGATTATTTTGAATAAAATATTATTTATCATTTTCAAACAACAGACGTGTAATTTTTACAAAAAAATTCCGGTTTCATACTTCTACACCTGATATATACAGGGTGTCGCGACCTTTTTTGCCAATCACTTTTGTGTAGATAGAGCGGACTAAACTGAGTCGAAAAGTCCTCTACCACTTTGCAATTTTCGCAATAGTTAACAAGATATTAATTACTAAAAATTGCAAAATATTGGTCTTGAATAATATTTTACTCAAATACTATCAACTTTACAGAAAAACTGCAAGAGACAAAAATTATTTATTTTCTTCTCATAAAGTTCTGAGAATTTTTTCAGAATTTTTTCAGAATTTTTTAATACCGTATGTTCTAATGTTGATAAAAATAAGAAAACGCAGTACTAAAAAGTTGATAAAAAATTCTGAAAAAATTCTCAAAACTTTATCAGAAGAAAATAAATAAATTTTGTCTCTTGCAGTTTTTCTGTAAAGTTGATAATATTTGAATAAAAAATTCTTCAAAACCATTATTTTGCAATTTTTAGTAATTAATATCTTGTTAATTATTGCAAAAATTGCAAAATAGTAGGTCTTTTCGACTCAGTTTAGTCCGCTCTATCTATACAAAAGTGATTGGTAAAAAAGGTCGGGACACCCTGTATATACAGGATGTTTCTTTTTAATTTAGCCAGGCGAATGTTTCAAATGCTGTTGAATTTATAGAAAAATGTGTCAGACAAATGTTGTAGAATGGGGAGAGGGACACAAGATGGTGGCCTTGAGTTTTTGATGGTCAAACTGAAGATCATTTCAAAGTCAACTTTGGTTTTTTAATGGAATGTAGTATTTTTCATTGCATATTCTGCGAGCATAAAATTCTGCGTTAAAGTTGTCTGACACGTTTTTCATGAAAATCCATTTTATTGTGGAAATTTAGCAATTTAAGCAAAAAAATTCGTAAAAAGAATCATGCATCAAGTTGTACATGTTCATGAACATTTTACGTTCTTATAGTTACCCGGAATCAACGGCGTGGACGTGACGAAAATCTGATCCCATTGGGGTGCTTGATTTACGTGAGTCCCCTTGCCTCTCACGTTCGGGATACTTGATTTACGTGAGTTCCCTTGCCTCTCACGTTCGGGGTGCTTGATTAAAGTGAGTCCCCTTGCCTCTCACTACGTATCAGACTACTGTAACATTACAGGAGGTGTTCAAAAACGTCTCTTCCAACGGCTAGGCACATGTGCAATCGACGTTGATGCATGATTCTTTTTACGAATATTTTTGCTTAAATTGCTAAATTTCCACAATAAAATGGATTTTCATGAAAAACGTATCAGACAACTTTAATGCTTTTTCAGAATATACAGTGAAAAATGCTACATTCCATTAAAAAACCAAAGTTGACCTTGAAATGACCTTCAGTTTGACCTTCATCAAAAACTCAAGGCCACCATCTTGTGTCCCCCTCCACACTCTACAACTTTTGTCTGATACATTTTTCTATAAACTCAACAGCATTTGAAATATTCGCCTGGCTAGATTAAAAAGAAACACCCTGTATATGTGTATGTGTGTATATATATATATATATATATATATATAGCATTTTCTTCTTGAAATTATTTATTAGATTAGATGTAATTTTATGATCTATAAAAGAGCAGATTGAAGATTTGAAGTGACAATGAATAAATGTTGTTTTGCTTTTGTGAAAATGAGTGACTTTTTTGCAAAATAAACAAGTGTATGTCAAGGAAAAGAGGAAGGAATAAAACTGTAAAATGATAAAAATGTAAAAAATGTAGGAAGGTCTAAAGCAGAATAAGGAAACAAATATGAAAGATGAGATAATAGTAAATAAATAATAAATAAAATGTTGAAAATACTGAGCTTAGATCTCGCTTTTCAGTTTGCAGGACATTCCACCATGGGACGTGTTCGAATGTTATCCTCCTTCACCAGAAAGTGGATCTATGCAAAATAACAGATTTTTCGAGATCGTCATTTGGATCCTAAAGATATTCATTTATGGATTGTTATTTACTATCGTCTTTTGTGGCGGTATCGTATCTAAATTATTTGTTTTATTGGCCACCGCGCAACTACGTAAAAATCAATCGTTGCTCTTTTGTAATCATAATGAAGGTAAAATTTTAATTTAGAGAGCGTGTAAATTAAAAATTTATGTACAAGATAAATTGGAAAGTACAAATATTTGCATTCCTTTTATCCAAAAGTGTAGAATTTTTCAAATTTATCAGTCAAAAATAATAAAAAAGCCCGTCAGAGCCTATATCGAGAATGTGAAGCATCATATGTAGGCCAAACAGGTAGATGTTTGAAGACACGCATAAATGAACATAAAAATCACACAAATTGGAACACTACACAACATTCCGTAATTACAGAGTCAGTCATCAGCATGATTTTGATTGGGAAAATGCAAAGATATTAGACGAGGAAAGGGTGTTCAATAAAAGATTGATTTCGGAAATGATTCATATAAAACAACAGAGGCAGAATGCCTCTTTTTTTTTTAATTTACAGAATGATACGTATTCATTAGATCCACTATACTTGGAATTGTTTGCGGAATCGTGACGTTGTTTCCCCTCTTTGTTCTTAGTTTTAGTTTTATTTTTATTTTCATTTCAATAACTACGTGACTTTATTATTTTGACTCTCATTTCATCTCTGACTGTTAACACTACAAGACCTTTACGTCGAGTCGCAAGATATGCTTACATGTAAGCTAATACAATTAAAATTTAGATTAATTATTTTAATAATTCTGTAATTGTTCGTTTTTTCTTTTTGTTTTCTTTCTTGTTAATGACTACATAGTAAATCTGACAATTTGATGTGCGATGTGATTCGATCTTTTGGCGCAATGTACTGGATTCCGTTTTTATTTTATGTAAGTTTTTATATTATTATTGTATAAGTTAATATTCTACTTTTTGACGCATTGTATCTGACTCCGTCTTAATTTATGTAATTTATTATAATTTTTTTTGTATAGGTTAATATTTGTGATAATCATTTTACATAGCTAATTTGGTATTTGGATAAAGAAGAACGAGCTAAATTGGTGTGAATCACTCTTTTGGATTTTGCGTTATTTATATAATTAGATTTATATTTAAACAATATCTTTATTTTAGGCCATATATGTGAAAAACACAATCAATACTAGAAATTTAAAATGCCTATTACGGTCGAAGCTGGATCTTCGTTGCTTAAATATTATAATTCTACCTTGAATTACTAATATACATATACTATATATGTACTTGCATATATACTATATTGTAGTCTTTTTCAAACTGCGCGCCGAATTATTTTTCCCGACTAAATAAATGCAATTAAAACTACTCTAACAATCGCGAATTAAATTGACGAGCAATTTGATGCTACCATCAAGTATCATATATTATAAAGATGTTAATATGTTTAAAAACTGTTAATAAATTTATAGATTTATATTTATATTGATAAGGACTCAAATTAAAGGGTTGAAACGTTTATTTGATTTGATTGTTATATTCACATGAAAATAAAGTGTTTTCTGTGCATCCGAACAGCTGATGTAGGCTTTGACGGGCTTTTTTATTATTTTTGACTGATAGATTCTTTCGAGCCTCATTTTATATATTTGTTTTCAAATTTTGTCTTGTAAAAGTTTTAAAATTTTTAAAACATTTGCAGAGGTAGATTGCGCACGTACGAAATGTTAAAATATAGGATTTCAAGCAATTGTCAAAGTTTTACTAAAATATTAAATCAAATAGAAATTAAAAAGTTAAATTAAATGAAAATAATTAATTCTAAAGAGAGGTATGGGAATTGATATTTGTAATTGAAAGGATTGAATAGTAACAGATAATAGTTAAAAGAATCCTGCTGAATCAAGTTGAAAAGATAGTTTACAAAAATTTGTAATATAATATCGAAGACATACCATTTTGAAGATTATCTTATCGCTTATTTATCACGTTATTATATAAGTAATCACGTTAATATATTAAAAAATCACGTTTTGTTATTATGTTACGTTAATTACTTCATGAGGAGAGAGAAGGAAGTAAGATTTTTCTCTCTTATCGGATATATTCTTTCATACTCTAAAATTCTTGAATATTCCTTAGAATTAGAAGAGCTTTTTACCGAATATACGCAAGATGGCCGTATAAAATGGACGTGGTGTTTAATTTTCATATTTCTCATACCGGAATGCATCGGGATGTTAAACACCTTGTGGCACTATCTATTCAAAAGAAAATCAAGGATGCCAAAGAAACGGAATATTTTACTCATGATCTTGATAGATACTCTTCACACGCTCGGTTTAGTATTATTAACTTTTATCATTCTACCAGAAATCGGTGCAGTGCAAGGTGCCGCGATTTTCTGTTGCCTATGTTTCGTACCAGGATTGTTGAGTAAGTGCGCATAATTAATTTACGAAGTCCTGGGTCAGTATTTATAGTCGGTTCTTATTTTAAGATTATCTTAAGTAATGTCCTAAGATAATAATACGGCTTTCTGATTAATTCATGATATCTTAAGACTGTACTTAAGACCGTCTTAAATATAAAATCTGATTATGAATACAGGCTCTAAAAATTAGAAGGTTTCAATAGCAATCGTCTTCTCGACATTTTTCAATTTTGAAACATTTTGCTTTAACTTACCGTTACTACGCTAATTTTCGACACTCTATTAAAAATTACAATGGTAAATAACTTTCGTTTCTACTACATATCACGATTCCGAAAGAATTTTACTTGTCATATAAATAATACATTAAATACAACTAAAATTATTAATATTTAATAGATCTATTTTCGCGAAATGAAGAGAGCCGTAATATATCAGCAATTAAATTAAGATTACTAAAAATTTGTGATGTACTGGCATTGATCGCCCAAGTCAGTGGGATGTTGTGGCCTTTGATTCTTACTATCGAGCACGACGTCGATAAAACGTTGATGTGGATTACTCCCGTTGCTCTTGCGTTGTGCTCAAGTCGCTGGTGGAGCAACTTTGTATCGTCTCACAGCAACGTTGGTACGTACCGATCACATATACATATACATATATATATATATATATATATATAATCAAGATGCCCAAACGATGACTAAAACCTTTTGAATTTTGTTCAGTGTCATGACCTTGATAACATTTGTTAAGATCAAAACCATTGGAGATTGTTCCTCTTATTTTCACTTTTACATAAAAATAAATTTTTAGTGCAAAAATGAAAATCTTGATCTTAACAAATGTTATCAAGGTCATGACACTGAACAACATTCAAAAAGTTTTAGCCATCATTTGGACACCTTGAGTAATGCTAATACCGGCGATACTGTAACTTTTAAACCTTATAACTCAAAAAGCATTTTATGAAAAAATATTTTATTATAGTGTTTTGGAAAGCTCTCTAGGTATGCTACAAGAATATGTATTGAAAAGTGGAGGGTTCTATTTAAAAAATGTAAAGTATCCTTCTTCTGATTTTGATAAGACCATCCAAGATCAAACCAATGGTACCAATCATCTCCCCCTCTAAGTCAAAACTTTTGTCTAAAGCACTTTTCTCTAAAATGCACTGTCCAAGAGATATTTGAGATAGTCAATTAAAATCGGACACTCTGTATATATAAATAATTTTAAATGTGTTGCCTCATGTAAAAAAAAGAAGAGCGAGAGAGAGAGAGAGAGAGAGAAAGAGAGAGAGAGAGTTTTATCTTATAATCTTGATAAATGTATATTAGAACTTACTTTTTTATAGTGAGTGTTTTTACTGGAAACTGATTTGATTTATTTCCAAGTTAATCGGAATTGTTACGTAGTACAATTGGGTCGAATATGCCGCGATATATCAATATTGAAATATCGAAAAAACAAATCATCTTCCAATCAAAATAGGTATAGTACGATCCTTATCCCGTGCGAAAGAAGATCTTCAACCAGGTCAGCATATCGTACATGGATATGTTTCAATTTGGAGGATATTCATTTTTATCACAGGAGCTTTCGTTATTAACATACGCGAAGGAATAGATGCCAAAAGCTTCTTCTCACCGCAATTCACCTACCGCAATTTCCCTACACCTCTTTATATCTTTGCGATTCAAGCTGTTTGCACTATGACGATGTATCAAGCTTGTAAGTCAAAACAGTTAAACACACATATATATACATACACACACTTACATTAAAAATCTTACATTAAAGTTCTTCATCTTATAAGAGAAAAGCTCTGCAAATCCAAAAATAATCAATTGTGAGCAATATTTAAAAGATATTTTTAAAGAATAGAATGATGCAGATTATAGATAATTTTTTGCTTGTTTTACCTGTTTTTCGTAATGTCTTTTAAACATTTGCATCATGTGAGAAGATTCAACTTAAAAGTTTTCTGATTAATCATTCTATTTTAGCTTATCGAAGATTTTAATATTTTAACTTAATTTAAATATTTTAACTCTTTTATGTGTGTGTGCATTTTCTTTGAATAAGTTCAAGAGCGCTTTTGATTTCAATTTTTATTTTTTCGACATTTTCAGGCAAATTCGTTTACAGAACCCATATGCACCAATTTGGTTTCGCGTTTCCAACAAATCTAGTTAGCCTAGGAGTGGTATGTTTGATTGTGACATTGTGCATCGCCAGAAAGAAAGACATCTGTGCCTTTCGTAATGTTACCCCGGACTATCTTTTCTTTGAGGATTTCCTCTTTGGAAATTGGAACGAATTTCTTTCTAGTTGGTACACTTGGTTTTGGCTGATATGGCTCATGTCACAGATATGGATCACGATACACTTGTGGACCACTGAAAACGAAAGATTAGCATTAGCGGAAAGGATCTTTTCTACGATCACCTATGATTCGCTCATGATCGATCAATGCTTAGCTTTAAATAAAAGGATGCAGAATGAAAATATTGAACAAAACCACGAAGGGGAAACTAAAGATGCTCAACTTCCAGTAAAGAGTTAAACTCTCATCTTATTGATTTATTATCGCAATTATATTTATTGTTATAATTAATTTGAATTTCAGAATGGCGACCTGAGACTCGAAGTTATCGATATTAGCTTAGATGCTGGAAGAATCGAACGAAATTTTGACCAAGACGACTCGATTGATGCTGATACAGCAGTTGATAAACGTAAAGATCGAGTTGCAAAAATTTATGCGTGCGCTACAATGTGGCACGAAGAGAAGAGCGAGATGAATCATTTAGTGGGCAGTATTCTACGATTGGATAAAGATCAATGTGCAATACGCGTCACGCAGAAATATTACAAAGTTCAAATTGAAGACTATTATGAATTAGAAAGTAAGACGTCGTACAGACAAGTATAACTAAAAGATTAGAAGGAACTATATATAGTATTTAATAATATAAATTAAGTCACAAATTTTTTTTTATCAAAACATTACATGAGTAATTAACAAAATTTACTTTTTAAAAAATTATAATGGGTATTAGTCCAGTCGTCAGAGGCAAAAATACCACTGAACCTCTAAAAATGATCCGACCTGGCTGAAATTTGGTATGAATGTCCACTAGTAGTCTCCAAAAAAGATGC